GTTCCTTTTATCTACTTTTTAAAGGAAATTGCTTAGTGAGCTAATATATATATATTCTGTTAATAATGTTCTGACATTGTATATGGGTAAGCTTCAGAATTAGAAAATTCATTTCATTTTTGTTTCTATGAGATAGTGAAAATAATCAAGTTGTTGCTTGAATCTATCTTGCCTTACTGTTTTTAGAAGAGAAATCAATATGAAGTTACTTGCTCAAATCTTACATATAATTATAAGATACTGCCTCATAAAAATGGTGTTAAAGTTGGTAGGTACTCAAGAGTGAATAAAGTTTTGAACTGATAAGAAATGAATGCAAATGGTTCTTATCTGGATCAGAATGGGGTTCAGTGGAGAACAAGTGACACAAAACCCACTGGTAGATTGGTGGAAATATAGACATGTGATGGTAATAGAGGTCTGTTTTAGTAAGCATAGACATCATCTGAAGAAATTTATCCTCACTATGCTACTGCTTCAATTGCATTGTTCACCATTTTACCACTCCACTCCTTTGTGCCCCACTTTGGCCAATGGCCACTAAACACCAGATGGTCAACTATAGCCCTGATTTTACTAGCACCTCAGTTCTGCAAATTAGTGAACCTCAAAGACTTTTTTGTTTTTTCTTTTAAAATTAATAAAAAAAAAAAAAAAAAAAATGCCCATCACCCGGTCCAACTATTTTTTTTTTTATGTGGGGGGTGCACACCCGGGTGTTGGATCCGGGTGTGCACCAATCATTGTCCATCATTGAGTAAATGCATATAGTATTATAGGTGAATCTTTGAGTAAAAAGAAAATTAAGTAATAACATATGTTATTATATATTGTATGTTATTATAAATTTACAATATCACATATTATTGTAGTTATATATCATTTTCAGTCAACTTAGTATAGCAAACATATTGAAACCCAAGTAATTGAATGCACAAAAAATATGTGTTTCTATCCTATATTAGGCTTTGTGCATAGCAACAAACAATAATCTCTATATTAAAGAGGAGAGAAAAAAATGGTATTCTCAATCTAGACTAGCTAAACAATGTATTAATTTGGGTTGAAAATAATATTTTTTTCCACAAACTAATAAAAAGACCTACATGTTTTTGAGTTAATTCAGATTGATAATACTTATTCTCTTAAAAAAAAAAAAAACTCGTCCTCTTCCATATTAAACAGAATTATAATGACTCATGAATATTATAGGTTTTAACTTAACCACACCTGGTAGAACATACACAATCAACCAAATCACATCAAGTGTAATGCATAATAATATAATACAAAGAATGAAGTTGAATTTTGTCATTTTTAAACATTTTATATTATTTGGTTTTCCATTATGGGTGGAATCTTAGCTGACTATTGAAAGTTGAATAAAGAAAGGTGAAGATTGATTTGTGGGCTGTAGTGGGTTAGGAAAATGGAAGTAGCAGAGGAGAGTTGACTGAAATCTATGGCACCTGTAGCTTCTGTAGTCCTTTTAACTTCTTCCATGAAATGATTGAAGGTACACCCATTGCAATATTCTATTTCTTGCTAGCAATTCCTTTGAATTTTATCATGAACTAGCTATAGTGCTTTTTTCATGGAGGACATTTTCTTTTACCTTCTAACATTATCAATCGCAATAGATCATCAATATATGTAATCTAATTCTCATGCTTTCAGCCTTTTTTTTTCCGTGTTTTCTTTGGTATCTTGGGTTACTTTTGATAAATCTCTCATTTAAGATGCTTCATGTTTGAACACGTTCTCAAGTAATAAAATACAATTACTTAGAAGACAATAAGTTTAATTAAAGATTAGTGTTTGTTATTATATAACTCATTTATTAAAAGAAGGTATGAGATATATGTACTTTTAAAAACAAGTGTTTGCTATTCCATAGCTTTTTCTCATCAAGGAGATTAATTAGCACAACAATGCTACAATATGTACTACCTCAACTAAAAGGTGCAAAACCACACAATGTTTTAATTAAAAGCTTAAGTCATTAATCTTCATTCAATTAAATAAATTTAATGTCTAAAAACAAGGTGCTTCATACGTAACATTATCAATGAAAATGAAACCTGTTGAATTTTAAGAAGAGATTGCATCGATCATATCATATAATGAGTTCTATTTGTACCTCCACCAGAAAATGTCACTATTATGCGTCTAATTAAAATAGTGATCATGATTAAATTCGCCTAAGTGCAGCACATATATAAATCAGTCTCAACCATGATCAGCATAATGTGGATGGACTCTTTTTTTATCTTCTAATTTTCTGCTAGGGTTTGAAAATGTCAATGATGAACTCTGTGTATGGATCTAATAATTATCATCTCTCAAAACCCATCTCCCATTTATATCATGTGGTATGCGTCACAGTCTACCATTGCATTTATAATATAATGTGGTACCAACTTATTTTTATATGAGTTTTTACTTATGTATTTAAATTTTTATATAAATTATCAGTGGTTGATTTTATAATTCAATAGTTAAGAGGATATTAATTTATGTAAGAGATGAAAACTTGACTCCAACTTATATATACAAATCTTTTTGACCATTTAGAATGAATATCCTTAGCACTTAAAGTTTATACTTACACTAAAAACTATATTAAATTCATTGTTAATAACTTGTTGGTTCGGTAGTAATGATTGTTGTAAATTAGGCTAGAAATGCATTTTGGGTTCTTTAATTGTCATTTCCGTAAAACTGATTTCAATATGTCACCTGTGGTACCTTTAAGTGGAGCTTCATATTTTACATGGAACGGTTTGAAGTTATGTATACCAGTGTTATCCTACAAAAAATGATCATTGTTACTTGAACTCTTGTTCCTCACTAAAGGTCACTTCGTTTAATTAAATCTTCTTTTATATAAGCAAGCAACAGACACGTATATAGGTAATCGTGATGGAAATTTTAACTTAATTAGTATCTCTTAGGTACTTTTTCTTCATTGATGTTTAAACCAATAATGATAATTAATTAATACATGGTTCTGTCATGGTTCATTGGCCTTTGGCATGCTAAGATTAATCTCGACCTTAATGATGGATGGATCTCAAGTAAATTAATTAGCTTCTTAATTTACATGCGAGTGTACAAGAAGTTGCTCCAATTATGCAATATATAATATTCTGTTTTTTATGTAAAAATTAGAAATTGCACCTTAAAACTATAGTTAAAAGTATTAACAATTCTATCATTATATCACATGATTTATGGTAGAAAAATAATTGAGGTACGATACTTTTTGGTTTGATATATTTTTTTGATAATTTCTCATTTTTAATTGTTAAGATGTGAACACAATTATATTTAAAATTATTGTAAATATTTTATACTTTAGAATATTCTCTATGTATATTTTATACCTTAGAATGTTCTCTTTATAAACACCTATATATAGATTATTGTACATATAGTATATTCAAGAAAGCAATAAACCTTTCTTCAAATTATTCTTCTTCTTTTTTGTTTCCAACATGGCATTAGAGCTATAAACTTCTGGTTCTTTTCTCTTATCATCACTGTTTGGTTTTTGGAGTTAGATTTTCAATTCCATTTCAGATCTGAAACTTTATCATTGGGATCTCTTCTCCTACATATTGGATTATTTATCCTCGATTCTCAGGTTCTTTCTAAGGTATTTTGCTGGTTTATTATTTCAATCTTGGTATCTATTTCTTCATATTTTTTTAGAGTTTTTTCAATATTGTGAGTTTTATTGATTCTATGACGAGTTTTGAAAGGATTGTAACTCATCCTGCTACTGCTATGGTTGCCAAAGAAGTGATAGACCAATCTAATGTCAACCTTGAATCCCTAAAACAAGTGATATTAAATTTTTTTTAATGCTCTTACTACGTTATCTACTACTCCAAGTACCAAACCTTGGTATTTTGATTCTGGTTGTTGTAACCATATGTCTTCAATTACTGTGAATTTTTCTTCAATGTCACCAAATAATTCCTTTCTAGATATATATTCTGCTGATGGTTTCCCTATGAATGTTAGTCACGTTGGAAATATTTCTAAAAAGTCATTGACTATATCAAATGCCTTCTTAGTTCCAAAACTTAGTTATAATCTTCTATCTATCGGTCAAATATGAAGTAACATTTTCTACTCATGGTTGTTGTGCGCAAGACCCACGGACATGATAACTTCTTGAAACTGGTTGCAAGGTGGGGCATTTGTTTGAGCTCAACTATCTGCATATTCTTGATAATAAAATGGATACACCATCATTTCCAAATGATCGATTCATCCAAACCTTGCTTTGTGTTGTTGAATTAGAGTCTCTACAAATTCCATACCAACAAATTTTGCAAGCATGTGTTGCTACTAACGTTTCTTTTCTCCATTTGTGGCACTCACGGCTCGGACATACCTCAATCGGTAAACTCCATTCACTTATCTCTCATGGTTTATCAAGGTCAGTTTCAAATGAATCCTTGCATTGTGTGTTATGTCAACCTGCAAAGCAACCAGCTTTATCTTTTTTGAGTAATCACTTTCATTCTACTGCTCCTTTTGATCTCGTGCATTTTGATGTTTGGGGTCTATCTCCTACACCCACCATGGGGGGTTCCAGGTACTTCATGTTATTTATTGATGGTCATACTCGTTTTACCTAGATATACCTCATGAAAAATCATTCTAAATTATCACAAATTTATATTGATTTTGCAACTATGATCAAAACTCAATTCTCTAAAATTATTAAAGTTTTGAGAACTAACAATGCTACTGAATATCTTGGTACTAAACTTCAATCTTTTATGAAAGAACAAGGTACCCTAACACAAGAATCTTGTCCTTACACTTTTAAACAAAATGAACGAGTTGAACACAAACACAAACACATCCTTGATTTTGTTCGTGCTTTGCTCATTTCATCCTCTTGTCCAGAGCAATTTTGAGGTGAAGCTACTCTTATAGCTATTTATCTTATTAATCGCATTCCATCATCAATCCTTAATAACCAGTCTCTATATGAGCGTTTACATGGTATTCTTCTTGCCTACAATCTTCTTAAGGTTTTTGGTTGTGCATGTTTTGTTCTTCTTCCACCTCATGAACATAATAAGTTAGAGCCTAGAGCTCGATTATGTTGCTTTTTGGGTTATGGGATTACACAAAAAGGATATCGTTGTTGGGATCCTGTGTCACAAAAACTCCGAGTTTCACGTCATGTTGTCTTTTGGGAACACACTATGTTCTCATCATTGTCAAACTTCAAGGTGTCATCCTCTCAACAACCTCCATTTTTTTTACTAATCCTTCTATTGAGCTATTCCTAGTGATTCTGATGCAGGTACATTTGATGAGTTCTACAATGCCTCACAACATGCTTCAACGAGTTCTGTAGAAGATGATCTACATGTTGGTAATACATTAGATAATTCTAAGCCTTCTTCTACTTCCTCATTTGTATCACCTGTTGATGTTGCATTTGAGCTTGTTGTCCCATCCTCGAGTCATCCTACTCAGGTAAGAAACCCTCCCAGCTACCTTTGTGATTATCATCGTTTTCCTACTATTATTTCTTTACATAAGCCTCAATCCTATCAAAAGGCCTCTTCTAACTCTCTTTGGCAACAAGCTATGCAAGATGAATTACAAGATCTTGAGAACACTCGTATATAGGATTTAGTTGACCTCCCTACTAAAAAGTATCTAATAGGTTGTAAATGGATGTACAAGATCAAAACAAGATCTGATGGTTCTGTGGAGTGCTATAAGGCACGCTTGGTTGCCAAGGGTTTTACATAGGAGCATGGAATAGACTATGAGAAAACATTTGCTCTAGTTGCTCGTCTCACATCTGTGCACAGTTTGCTTGCTATCATTGCTATACGGAGATGGAAATTGTTTCATATGGATGTGAAAAATGCTTTTCTTAATGGTGACTCAAAGAAGAAGTTTATATGAAACCACCTCTTGGGCTCACCCATCCTCCAAACAAGGTATGCCAATTGTGACGCGCATTATATGGGTTGAAGCAATCCCCTTGAGCCTAGTATAAGCCTATTATGCCAAGTTTAGTGCTACTATAAGTAAGTTTGGTTTTACTTCCAGTCCACATGATATAGCTTTGTTCATTCGTAAGACTGCTCGGGGTATGGTTTTTTTACTTCTTTATGTTGATGACATGATTATGACTGGAGATGATGTCATAGGTGTTGAGGAGCTAAAATAATCTCTCAGTTAGAAATTTGAGATGAAGGATCCTGGTGTTTTGAGCTATTTCTTAGGGCTTGAAGTCACCTCTTCAAATGATGGCTACTTGCTTTCTCAAGTAAAGTGTGCCTCCGATCTTATTTCTAAAGCTGAACTCAATGATGGTAAGAGTGTTTCTACACCTCTTGAACCAAATGTCAAGCTTACACTTATGGATGGCTCTCCACTTTTGATCCTACTCATTATCGGCAATTGGTTGGTAGTCTAGTTTATCTTACCACAACATGCCCTGATATAGCATATGCAGTTCACATTGTTAGTCAGTTTATGGCTGCTCCTCGCTCCACTCATTATGCAGCAGTACTTTGCATTATTCGCTATGTTAAGGGAACATTATTTCATGGACTCCATTTTTCTGCCAAGTCCTTTCCTATGCTTCGCGCTTACTCTGATGCTGATTGGGCTTGTGATCCTTCTGATTGTCGATCTACCACTGGTTATTGTCTTTTCCTTGGTAATTCTCTTATCTCTTAGCGGAGTAAGAAACAAACTATCCCATCTTGCTCTAATACTAAAGTTGAGTATAAAGCTCTTGGTGATACCACATCAGAACTTCTTTCATTATGGTGGCTTCTTGAAGATATGGGCATTCATCAACTTTATTCTACTGATTTTTATTGTGATAATAAAAGTACTATGCAAATTGCTCATAATGATGTCTTCCATGAACGCGCTAAACACATTAAGGTTGATTATCACTTTGTTCGCCATCATGTTGCATAAGAAACTGTTCATTTGGTTTTTATTAGCTTCATTGATCAACCAGCAAACCTCTTTACTAAGGCTCATTTTCCTAGACGCTTTCGTACTCTTCTTTCCAAACTTAAGTTGGTTTTATCACAACTTGAGTTTGAGGGGAGATGTTAAGATGTGAACACAATTATATTTAGAATTATTGTAAATATTTTATACTTTAAAATATTTTCTTTTTATAATTTATACCTTAAAATATTCTCTTTGTAAATACATATATATAAATTATTGTACATACAATATTATTCAAGAAAACAATAAACCTTTCTTCAAATTATTCTTCTTCTTTTCTATTTCCAACATTAATTATTAAAAAATAATATAAATATAATCAATTCAACTAATTTTTATATTTTGTATACATAATTGTATTTTTAAATTTGTATATCTTTAATTTAAATTAAAAAATTAATTTTTTTTAATAATTATATATTATATTATATTAAAAAATATAGTATCTTTTGTGATATCATCTAATAAATAGACATGAACATATGAAGTCGACTTTAAATTTAAACCTTATTTTTCATTTAAAGTTTTAAAACCTTATTAAAAAGGCAATATTAGACCAAAAGCCATTAATAGAGATAGGGTTCATGTACCAAAAGGAAACAAAAAGGCTCACCTAGACAAATTTTGTTTGATATACAAGCATTTGAAGTTGACTTTGTATTTTATATTAATAGAAGCATAGAGCCAGGGCCGACCAACTAGGATTTTGTCAACATTACCTTCTAAAAAATTGTCCCTTTTCATTCAGTCCTGTCTCATGCACAGTCTCCTCCACCTTCCCATGCCTAGTTGCGTTTATCAATTCCTTTCCTTTATTTAGTCGAACCAGCCTTGATTGTCCAATTAATTCACTGTCAATGAGGCCTTAGTAGAGATTGAGACACCATTACTCTAGAATTGTGGGTTTTATTTTTTTAATTTTTTAATTTATGTCTTGTGTTTAAATAGTTAAATTTGTGTTGAATACACAAATTTATTTTTTTATTTTAAATTACATAATAAAAATAATTTTCTTTTATCTTTTAACAAATCTTCCTATTTTTTATTTAATTCATTGAAATCTTTCCTATGTGTAATTTTTCATAGACAAAACAAAAGATAATAATTGATATATTTTCTAGTTTAATACATTCGATGATACATTAAATAAAAAATTATTATTCTCAAATTTTAACTTAATATGAGAAAACTTTCAGTTATAAATTTTAATAATTAAATCAATAAATGTTAACGATGTATTAAATTATAAGATATACTAATTATTTTTCAAAAACAAATCAATATCACTCCCCTTGAGCTTTAAAAGCGTGAGGCTTTTAAAGGTTGCAAGTACATTTTAGGATTCGAAAACTAACCTCAATTCCTCAATTTTCCAAATATTAAAAAAATAAAAATAAATAAATAAAACCCTAATGAAGTAGTGAGGATGGGTATCATCAAAATTTACAGGATAAGATGAGCTATTTAAATTAACTTTTTTTTTATATAATTAATAATTAATAATTGATAATAATTATTTATAATTTAAAATATTTAATTTATTTAATTAAAATTAATAATTAATAATTATTTAAAAAATACTAAAATAAGCGCCACCAGATATAATTAAGTTTGACAGGTGATGAAGACGAATGGCAAAAGTCCAACATTTGTTTGTACTTTTCCAACCCAAAATGGTTAATTTCCATTAAGATCATGATTATTTTATATTTAAAAAGTCAACTTTCAACAAAGAATTATAAATTTGAAGAACTTTCATGTAGTAATATGTAAGCACCCCTGTATAACAATTTTTGTTAAATATAAGTATTTAAATTTTTAGTTCAATTATTTTCACATGCATTTACAATTTGCTTCATTCACAAAAGTATCAAATAATATTCTACCTTTAAAAATGATAAAATATAAATCACATGATCTATTTAAATTATTTGCACTAAAATAAAACAGTTCATACTTACATTTTTAATATGATTTATATTACACCTTTCTATTTGAGTCAACTCTAATAAGTTACAATTTCATAACACGTTGCATCATAATTTATATTGCACCTTTGTATTTATGTCAACTCTAATAGGTTATGATCCCATCACATGTTGCATCAACGTCGACACCCATGAATGTTCATTTTCTTTATGGAAAAACTTTAGGACTTTTATTTGCGTATATATACATCTGTCCTTTAGCCAATTGAATACATTTTTTGTGTTCATCTTCTCTATAAAAATGAAAATTTAGGTATTGCAATTGCATGCTATAGGTATCTTTCCGTTGAGAGTCAACCCAAAATTTTATGATATCAATTCTGACTTTCAACATATTCGAATATATACGGTCCGTATGCTAATTCATTAGTCTATAAAGATTCAGACAAGCAATGATACCATTTATGACTCGAGCTAAAGGATGTTCCTCCTGTGCATTAGAAAACATCCTCCCCTCTCAGTGAGATTTTAGTTTAGTGGTGATGATTAAAGAATAAATTGAGCCGACACTCAAATTTTAAAATTTAGATTTCCAATGATGACAAAAATTTAAATAAATACATGGGTATGTGTAAAGCAAGACATCGCTGTGCTTGATTTGTTTCCAAACATGTGGTGTCCTAAAAATTATTAAGTGTTTACTGGTGTGATTGATTGATTCGGTTTGGTTTAGATTGGATATTGTTTTTGTTTTTGTTTTTGTTTTTGTTTTTTTTTTTTCTGGCCAGCTAGATATTGATTGCTTTTAAACTTTTTATTTTTGATTTTTTTGGAAACAAACTAAAGTCAAGTAAAAATTCTGCATTTCCATGTGTTACTACTAATTTGTATTTTAGTTTACTTTGTCGAGTGATAAAAATTCAATTCCCCAATTTTGTTTAGGGGAAACGGGGTGGAGGAGAGGGAAAAAGAGATAATATCCTTCCATTTCACTTGCCTTTACTCCCTTTCTTTTGTTTGGTTACGCTAAAATTAAAAAGGAGATTAAACAGAAGCTCCCACCTCCTCTCCTCTACTCCTCTTTTCCCTAAATTTTGTTATTCAAATATAAAAATTTACTCCACAGGTCTCTCAAACCAAACAAATTTAATTTTAAAAGTCTAAACTCAAAAGGAGAGATCATAACATGATATCCTTTTCAGTAATAGAAGAATAAGAACCAATATAAATGATAACATTAGATGACCATTATAAAAGTAGTATAATGCAACATATAAGTCAAGAAAACTAATAACCAATGTTCATAGGACAAAGAAAATAGAACAATGATTGATATACTCTTCGATTCAACACACTACACAAAATACTCCGATTCAACTATTAAAATTTGCTTTTAAAAATTTTCTCCCCATGAATTCAAATTTGAAAATAATAGTTTCATAATGAGTGTATTATTGGTGTATTAAATCAGAGGGCGTATCAATCATTTTCTAAGAAAATAATGAGTTTTCAACAAACTTAACTCAAACAATTAATGTTATAAAATTAATTACTATAAATAAATCTGTAAATTAAGATATAATTTAAAAATAAAATAAAAATAAAAATAAAAAACTATCACATTTAATTAAACATTTTATAATCAATTTAGTTCAATTAATTTAAAGCTAAAATTATAAATCAAACTGATTATATCGAGTTTGAATCTAACTAAAAAGCCATTATAAAATGAAACACAAAAAACTAAGACATGATGCAGAATGATTAAGTAGACAGAACTAACAAAATGGATCTGTTACATTAGAACAATGATTAAGCATACGGAACTAACATGATGGAGAAAATTTTAAAGTAGGATTATTATATAGGTGATTTTGTAAGAATAATTAGGACAACATGGTGTTTTGCTAAGCCTAGGACCAACATGCTTTTTGTTTATTAATCACCAGCCAAGTAAATTTGTCTCATGTCTGCTTCATGCTCATAATAATTTATACAAACATATTAGTCTTCTTCAAGCTCGTAGGAGTCGTAAACCAATCAGGTTGATTAAGTAAATTATTCAAATTTAGTTTAAAATATGTCATTTATTTCAGAACTTTATATTTTCGAAGATAATTCATGCTTATAATATTTTTTAATGGAAACAATACTTGGCAAATTAACACTATTAAGAACTTAACTACATTGATATTTATTGATTAAAAAAATTAAAAATTTTTTTTTGAACATTTTGGCAAGAGACGGGTTTAAAACCCGTCTAAAGAAAAGGGAAAATGCACTAACTGATTGGCTAATGTCAGTGGGCCTTTAGGGCCATGTGCTAAAAAAAAAAATTAAATTAGAGTTAAAATCAGTGAAAAAAAATCATTGCACTCGAATCATTTTACTTAAACAAGGATGATTTTGCATTAAAACGTGTGACTATTCTCTACCACCAAAATGAAACAGAAAATTAATATGTTGAAAGGCCATCTGTGTTGTTTTCTTGTGGGAAGTCAAAGCGTTACACTTGTATATTTTCTTAGCAAGGAGAAGAAACAATGTGATTGAGGTTAATAGGTAGAAGGAACCCCCCTATCAATAGCTTACCTACGCACTCTCTGAGGTCATGACAAGTTTTAATTTTAATATTTTTCTTCCAAAACAAATGAACGCACATTCTGAGGTCATGCCTATATATGGTACACAAAGTACTACCAAAAGCAACTGCAATTTCAACAAGATTGCCATCCCAATAGCAGCGCCAAAATTAGCGTCTAGCAGTAGAACCAAGCACCCCAGAACATGAAGATTCTCTTCGCTTTCTTCATCATCTTCTCCTTTATCTCCTTGGTAAGCTTATCTTCCTCAATTTTCCCATGAATCCTTGTCTTATTTGCTTCTTTGTTCTAATAAGATATGCTCTCATAGTCTCATCAATGTTTTTTTTTTTTTTTGGTGTAGTTTGTGGAGGTTTGTCATGCAAGAACTGGACCTGGAGAGTATTGGGAAAGGATGATGGGTGAACCCATGCCAGAACAACTCAAGCAACAGCTTAATCTAGAAGGAGCTTCTTCTATTGACCAAGATGCTCCTCAGAAGAAAACGGTCAGATTTGCCAAAGAATTTGATGTCAAACATACTTTGATCATATACCAAAGCAAAGATAAACCTAAAGAAGATCCCAAGCCTGCAGTTGAGATGAAGGATGAAGAAATCAAGCCAAAGATTAAGGCGACCGGCCAGCCTTGAAAAATTAATTAAGGGCATGAATTGAAGAAAAAAAAAAAAATACAGTCCTGTTCGTATGGTAATGTCCAAGTATTTGTAGTTAATTTCTGACATTAGTGTTCAGAAGCTGATCAGGGCAACTCTGTTATTCAATGTAATCCTTGATGGGTAAGGGATTATAGTGGATATGTTTAGTTCTGACCAAATTTCTACAAAATAGAATTTTAGACTACTTATTAAGTTATAGCTAGGAATAATGTAAGGTTGGTTGTTTATGAAATCAAAGAGTGATCCTGTTTATGGTAAACAAGATTTCCGCTCTGTAGTAAGATATCCATAATCGAAAGTAACAATTTCCTTAGTTGAATTCATAAGAATTTATTTATTTATTTATTTATTTTTGTCTTTCCTTCTTTATCATTGTAATGTTGAGCATTAAGTAAAATTGTGTGTGTTTTTCAGTCTTTTTTCTTTTTATTTTGGTGTGTGTGAAGCAAGAACATACATAGCAGCTTCTGGGTCAGATAACGCCCAGATTTTTCAGTTCATAACAGGTGGGGATTGGGGAGGAATTGTTGATCCGACATTTCTCGATGCATATTGGAATCCCAGGGATTAAAAACATATAGAAAGCAAACAAATTGTGAGGCAAGTTGGAATGATTGAACATGGAAACTATTGAAGTTCGATTTTTTAAAAGAAAAAAACCATTTTTTTTAATTGAGGAAAACATTTTTTTCCATGCTCATTTTTTTGGTAAATTTTTTCCATGTTCATTCATAAGTCTAAAAGCCAAAGGAAAAGGAAACCAATTTTAAAGTTTTTATTGTACTCTTTTTATGGAGGCATGGATCCAAGCCCAATTGCGTAGAGACTTCCACACAGTGGCTGGATCTAGCGCCATTGATGATGAGTGCCAAGATGGCGACAAAGTTCGCTTTTTCAGTCCTCCCCCCCATCATCCATCTTTCTCTCCTTCTCCTCTTTATCTACTCTTCTTTTGTACAATTCACATCCAGCAATCCACCCTCTTCAACGTCAACTGCTAAAATCACTGCTTCTTTCTCTTCTTGTAACCTCTTCAGAGGCCACTGGTCCTAGACCTCACCAAACCAAAGCCTTTGTATGATGACTCGTGCTCATTTCACAGAAACGCATGGAATTGCCCGAGGAACAAGAGGGACAACATGGAGATTATCAATTCTTGGAGATGGGTGCCTAAAGATTGTGATTTGGAACGCATTGATCCCTATCGTTTCCTGGGGCTGACGAGGAATAGGAATGTTGGATTTGTTGGGGATTCTTTGAACGAGAATTTCATGGTGTCTTTTTTGTGTATTCTTAGAGTAGCTGATGCGGGTGCCAGAAAGTGGAAGAAGAAGAGGGCTTGGTGAGGGGCTTATTTTCCTAATTACAATGTTACAGTTGCATACCATCGAGCTGCGTTGCTTGCTAAATATCAGTAAGTTTTTTCTTTTTCCCCTTAATTATTTACCAATTTTGAGGATTTGTTTGGTTATTTGGTTTGCTTTGTTGGCCATGTTGCCTTAGTAATTGCATTGAATATATTTGTCAAGGGAGTTGCTATTCATTTTAGTGATTGATACTAATTACTAAGAAAATTGTTGTGTAGTAAAATGGATGCAAATGGACTAATGCAATGCAGTTATGGCTAGAACTGAGCACCATAAAATGATAGGGCATATATAAAGACTATAGAGAAAGCAGCCCCATGAATCTGTGTTATAAAGTACAGATCTTTGGCCTAATAATTCTATGGGGGAAGAGGTAAATGTAAACACATCTATTGACACTGTTCGTATCTCTTTTGAAGAGAGTAGTAGTTTGAAAATCTTGATGTTGTTAACTAAATTGGCCAGTTCTATGGCTTAGACAGTTTCAATATTTTTTTGTTAGCCATGGTAGTTCGTAAATAAATATTCTCCCTGACCAATATTGTTTGATTTCTGTTTGCTTAATATGATCAAATTAAAATATTGAGGATTATCTTAGTCTTATGTTGTATGTTATGTTCTACAAACCTTTAGAATGGAGCCTCACATGCTTGTAACTGATTAAACAAAGGTGGCAGTCCAAGCAATCTGTGGATGCTGATCAAGATAGATTGAAAGGAATATCTAGAGTAGATGT